CAAATAAAGTGCTCACGAGACTGCAGTTTTGGTTGTTCTAGATTTATTTATTTCTGAAGTGTCCTTGCTTTGGGGGGAAAAAAAGAACAGTTTTAAATACCAGTTTTCCAGTGTTCCTGTTTTAGGAGTCGACAGCTGAAGTCACTGACAAGCAAAAGGAATCTTACCCCAGATTCTCAACACTATCAGGTGTACTCTGAAACAGAGCCAATTGCAATGACATGGAGTGGTTTTTGAGTAGTATTTAGAGCTCAAATAGTATTAGAACAAATCACTGAAATAATGCAAACACTGGTATGTAAATGATTGGAGAGAATTGAGAAAATGGAAATGTTATAAATGTGATACAATGAGCAGAATAAAGGATGTTTCATTTACAGCATGACTTCTGTTAACCATTTAGCAGCTAGGTAAGCTCTCCAATGAACTTATTTTTTCCAATAGCACCATGTTTTTAAAAGAATAAAAGTAATGAAATGAGAATACCTTATTTCAATAGTATGGTTGAGGATACGACTCCTATAGTTGTGCTTTTATTATTCACTTTAGCTAACGCTTCTCTAGTCTTCTTAGTAGTTCTAGAGAGTCTGATTTGGAGATCAAACCCTAGCTGTGCCCTACTGCCTATGTGACCCTGGACCAGGAATATAAGATCTTTGTGTCTCAGTTGTTTAACCCACAAAATAAAGATCATAAAATTATTTTTCTCTTAAGATAGATACTAATAATAAATATAAAATATTTGGTATTCATCACACATCAAAAATGTAATAAATGTTATCTATAATTAGTGTGATATACCACATTCAGAATTGGGGTGCTTTGATCATTCAAGTTTTTCATTCATTACAGATTCAACCATTATCTATATATTAAATTTGTGTTAATATATTAGATTTTCAACATTGATGGCTTAAGTAAAACTGTTTCTAAGGTAATATACAGTTATTTAAAATGTTTTAATATTAGTTACACCCATCTTCTAAATACTATAATTAATACAGATTTTATTCATTCATTCAAATTATACATATTTACTAAACATCTAGCATGGGTTAAGCACAGTGCTCAGAGGTACCCTGTTGAATCAATGAAATGTAATGTTTTGACCTTTATTTTACTTGAAAATTATGCCACATAGATCCAAAGACTTGGGAACTTCACTCCTCTGAAGAAAAGACAAGTAAAAAGATGTGAGTGAAAAAAATATTCCATAAGTTGATACAGATACTCAAAGCTTATGCATGAAGTCCATGAACACTTTTCCTTAGAAGAAATAGCTTCTACAGGAAAAACAATTTTAATATACTTAGTTCTTGTAAGCAGAATATAAGGGAAGGGGGTGAGATGAAATGAGTTTGTGCCATAATATTGCTACTAACGAACTAGCCGCTGACTTTAATGAGTCACCTGTCACCATTCATACTACAAAGTGTAGAAAACAGACTCAAAAACACCAACTGGTGTACCCTGTGAATGTATATAGTCCCAGATAACTAGCTTGCAGAAATATTTAGTTTGGCATGCAAAGAGTTTTTATATTTTTGAATTAGTTAGACATTTAAAAATGAATTATTTTACATAAAAATTTGGATTCCTAGTTTCTCTTAAAAATTTAGAAGATTTGTAACAAATGCCTCAACCTTTCCCAGTATTAATTAGTTGGAACCGAATGTTTGCTGCAATCTTTAGCAATGACATTTACTCTCATTCATTTAACAAATATTTATTGAATGTCTACTTTATTTAACAGATATTTATTGAATCTACTATGTGCCAGATACTACTGCAGGAGCGAGTGTATGCTGCAAGTGTGCAAAGAGACCAATTTCTGCCTTCATGGAACTTAGGTACTTATAGGGAGAAACAGAAACAAAGCTTGCAACAAACACACAAGTAAAACATGCTCATATGGTGATAAATGTTATGGTCAAAACTATATAGGACAATGGGACAGAGAGTAATTTGGGTGAGATATGCTACTTTACATAAGGTTGTTGGGGAAGGTCATTTAAAGAGATAACCATTGATTTAGTGACATTTTATTTGAGAACTGGATGAAAATAAAAATTCATACTCTGGAGTAGACTAGAGTTACAGTAAGAAGAGGGACTAGCTAATATAAAGACCCAAGAACAAGAGCAAGTTTGGTGTTGATCAATGTACATAACAAAGACCAGTGGAGAAGGAGCAATGTGAACCACAGGAGAGTAATATGAGATATGCTTCAAGTCTTTTCTTAAATCCACCTTCTTAATGGGGCATTCGGTGGGGATTTAATACTGTCGTCCAAGTGTCTGCAAATTATAGCTGATGGGCTAGATCAGGTCAGCTGCCTGTTTGTGTGAATAAAGTTTTTTGGAGCACAGACATGCCCATTCATTAACACATTGTCTCTGGCTGCCTTCGTGCCACAAGGACAGAGTGGAGTACAAGTGTGCAAAGAGACCAATTTCTGCCTTCATGGAACTTATGTACTTATAGGGAGAAACAGAAACAAAGCTTGCAACAAACACACACGTGGAACATGCTCATATGGTGATAAATGTTATGGTCCAAACTATATAGGACAATGGGACAGAGAGTAATTTGGGTGGGATATGCTACTTTAGATAAGGTTGTTGGGGAAGGTCATTTAAAGAGATAACCATTGATTTAGTGACATTTTATTTGAGAACTGGATGAAAATAAAAATTCATACTCTGGGGTAGACTAGAGTTACAGTAAGAAGAGGGACTAGCTAATATAAAGACCCAAGAACAAGAGCAAGTTTGGTGTTGATCAATGTACATAACAAAGACCAGTGGAGAAGGAGCAATGTGAACCACAGGAGAGTAATATGAGATATGCTTCAAGTCTTTTCTTAAATCCACCTTCTTAATGGGGCATTCGGTGGGGATTTAATACTGTCGTCCAAGTGTCTGCAAATTATAGCTGATGGGCTAGGTCAGGTCAGCTGCCTGTTTGTGTGAATAAAGTTTTTTGGAGCACAGCCATGCCCATTCATTAACACATTGTCTCTGGCTGCCTTCGTGCCACAAGGACAGAGTGGAGTAGTTGCAACAGAGACTGTACGGCCTGCAAATATTATCTAGCCCTCTACAGAAAAAAAGTGCTCACCTCATTCTTGCTGGTACTCTCAGTCCCTTATAACCTCTTCAACTTTTTCTTTTTTGCATAGTCCAATCACTTTTAACATTCTACTTACTATACATATTTATTTTAAAGCTTATTGGCTATTTTTACTTCTCACATTAAGATGTGAACACCATGAGGGCACAGATCTTAATTTTGTTCACATGTGTATCCCAAATGTTTGGAACATGGTAGGTACTCAATGATGATTTGTAGAATGATTGAGTGAGCTTAGAGGAATAAGCAGTATACTGCAACCAAGGAAGCCATAGTGAGGAATTTGTATTTTATTCTAAGTGTTATGGGCAGCCACAGGAATGTTTTAAACAATCGAGTGACATGATGTGATCCAGGCCACTGAGGTCTAATGACTTCTTACCCTGAGATGACCCGGCCCATTCCTCTGTGTGCCTGGCCTGTGCTACAGATCTTAGTCCAAAAAAATACTCCATGAATGAGAAATGATTATGGTAAGGAAATCTCAAAAGACCAATGTTCAGTGACTCTACCTCAGAAGACACCCCTGTGGGTGGAGGACTCAGGGAGAAATGGGTTTAGTGGCAAGCTCTGCACGGTTTTTCAATAACAGTATCAAACAGCAAGCTCAGTGATTTTTGAGATAGATTTTACAGGAATTTCAAAGCTTTATGTACTACATTTGTTATAATGCTTATAAGTTTTCTTCTGAGAAACTCATATAAAGATGTTACTGTAACCAAAGTACAATAAAACTCAGCTTACCAACTAGTATGCTGACATTTACAGCCGTGCTGCAAGTGGGTTACAGGAGTGCTCAAATATTGGTTACTCTCCACCTTGGGGGTCACCAAACCCAGTCAGTCTCACAGTCGGTCATGAGCTCGTCCACTTACCCCGGTGTATCATAGAACTGTTATCATTTTCTATGCATCCCAAAAGATGAAGAAGTCCTGCAATGTCACCAATCATAATTTGTTAATGATATTTGTTTTCTGAAAGAGAAAAAAAATCATGAAGTTTGTAACTACTCCTAAGATTATGAGGCTCATTAAAACAACTTGACAAAGATTTCCTGAGACTATTCCTATATTTAATAAATTTACAAACTAGGGAAAAAGCACAAACAAACAATAAGGAGCACTGATATAAATGGGTGCACACAGGATGCCTTGACTCATTGCTTTGGGGAGACTAAAGAAATGCTTTGGAAGAAATGGGAATTTGAGCTACACACTGCAGAGTGGAGACTTTTTGACAGGGATAGAGGGAAAGGCAACCAATAATTGGTTAGACATTGCTGCCCCAAAGACTCAAGGTAATTTCCACATTCTTTGGGCTGAGGACCAGGGTGAGGATAATTTTTACAATTTTGGGTTGATTCAAGATGTACGAATTTCTTCATCGAGCAGCGTGAAATCACTCTGCATTTACACCTCCTGACGATTGGGCTTCTCAGAACC